TTCATCAATTTTTTTTACATAAAAGCCATTCGTACAGTAACAGCGAGGGACTTCCGCGATCGCGTCCATCGCTACAAACCGGTAACCGGTAGTCGATCCGCCGGCGCCCAATTCACGATCATTACGTGCCAAAATTTCAACTTTGTCTGGCGCTTAATTGAGGTGTAAAATACAAAGTTTTTGTGGCACTGGCGCCTAATTGAAGGTGGCGCTTAACTGAAGACAAATACGGTATATCGAGGTGGAATTGATTTCGAAAGAAATTTTAGATTTCAATCGAAAGACTGTGCCGATCGTCAAAGTATTTACTTACGAACAAAGAGATGCTAATTTTACAAAAGTGACTGGTATTGTTTATAAGCCGCTACCACATCGTGCGACTATGTCTGTTGTTTGCAAATTATAATCCATGACTGGCAGGATGCATGTCGATCGGAAGCGTTTCCGTGGTGGTCGCTAATTTTGAGTGCTGGTCAGGCCGACTAGCGTGGCAAGATCTCTGATAGCTACGTATTTCTTACTTTATTTTCGCAATACAGTTCACAGGATGAACAATGAAAAAAGCACTGTGGCGGTCTTACTAATCACCGTGGCGGCTCAAGACCACAATGGCGGGCAGTGAAAGCAGCGTGGTGGGCACAAATTGAATGCTGGGGAGAACACTGAATATACATACACATGTACATGTATCATTAATTTATCTTCTTTATTTTTTAGACAACAAAAGAAAACCTGAAGAAACACTAGAGACACCAGTTGGAAAGACACGCCGAGTTGAAAAACAGAAATGCACAGATTTGATCGTTTTAGGATTACCATGGAAAACTACAGAAGAAGAACTTAAAGAATACTTCAGTGATTTTGGAGAATTGCTAATGTCACAAGTATGTAATACCTTGGCTTTTTTCTACAACTTTCAACATACAAGTGTGGTTCCACATACAAGTGTTGTGTGGTTCAGTATGCCTTAGCACCCAAAGTACTCATCTCACAAAATCATATTTTTAGTGAGGGTAGGCACTTAGTCGAACACTCCACTCAAAGAAAATGGCAAAAAGACAATTTGTGTTCACCATGAATTAAAATTGCGAAAAGAGTTGCATTGTCATTGATTTCCACGAAATGTTGATGAAAATAAATACACTCATTTTATTGCAATATTATTTACATATCATCCGGTGTAAAATTATTAGGGTCTGTAGAAAAATAGAAATGCCCCAAAAGTGAGGGTAGGCATTGAGTTGAACGAATACGGTAATGGGCCGGCCCATCGTTCACCACAGTTGATACTTCTGTGTGCTGACATCTTGAACTGTATTACTGAAATTTGGTCGCCATCTTTCCTTGTATTTCTATACAGTATACATTGTTCCCTCTAAACAAGTTTGACAAAATGTCACAAAAATGGCTTTTGAATGTACTGGTTTATATATTTCTTTACACTTCATTTTTTTGTTTTCCTCCCTAGGTTAAAAAGGACCCCAAGACAGGAAACTCAAAAGGATTTGGTTTTGTGCGTTTTAAAGATTATGAAACGCAACTGAAAGTGATGTCACAGAGGCATAACATAGATGGTCGATGGTGTGATGTGAAAATACCATTTTCAAAGGTCAGTGTTGTATTGTTGAGACCATCATTCTATTGTCCTTGTAGGTTTTAACAAACAATAACAGAGTAGAAAGATTAATATATTAGAATACTTTATTTTCGCTATTTTCGCTGAAGGGATGATTCAGTGAAAATGAAATCTAGCGAATATACTTTTTTTCCTATATTTTACATTCAACTCATCAAAAGTCAGTGAAAATAAATTCCATACAAAACACCCAAAAAGTCTTTTCAACGAAAATTAATTCCAGAGAAAATAAAGTATTCCACAGTAAATCTTGATGAAACAAACACCACTTTTCAAATTCAACTTAAAATCAACATAGTTTTTCTGGAAATAAAAACGTGTACAACAATATGTATTGCTGACATTGAACTTAATTACTGCAAACCATTTTTAACACCAAGCATTTGTTAGAGAAACTAAATTTGCAAAACTTTCTCAAAAAATCTTAGTTGAATATTCACTGCTGTGTTAGTGATCATCGTCAAGGTACAAATTTAATGCAGTTCATGTGGTAGTCATGGTCACGTTGTCAGTATAAGAGTTCTCCTTGTTTACTTGTTTCCTTGTAAGAAAATCTCAACTTCATGACCACAAGAAATGATTTACTTATCTCTTTACAGGGAGATATGAGTTTACCAAATGCTGGTAGGAAAGTGTTTGTTGGCAGAGTCACTGAAGACATCACAAAAGAAGATCTTTACAGTTACTTTACACAGTTTGGTGAAGTTGTTGATGTTTTCATTCCAAAACCATTCCGGTTCTTTGCTTTTGTCACATTCGCTGATGCCGAGGTGGCTCAGAGTTTATGCGGTGAAGATTTGATTGTGAAGGGTAACAGTGTACATGTGAGCAATGCTGAACCAAAGAATTACCAGCAAGGTAAAGGTGGCGGTGGTGGTGGCGGAGGTAATATGGGATATGGCCAAATGAAAGTACAAGACAATCAAGGTACAGAATTATTGTATTCTCCTATACTTCACTCTCAGAATGTGATGCATTGATTTATTTATGTACCTTGTATCTCAACTTGAAGTACCGTTAAAGTCCTATTATAAACCGCGGTTTATATTACAATGTATCAATTTAAAAATTGGGATCAAAAGCTCAAGTTCGGGGTGCGGTTTCTATTACGTACATATTGCAATCACTAAATGGGCGTGGTCATTTTCTGTCCACAACACATGCACAAAACAAACAATACACCGTACAATCTCTTGAATAGGCGTCGGGGAAGAGTGAAAGGCCTTATTTTGGTTCTAAAATAGGCGTTACGAAATG